CATATATATAAATATATACATCAATTTTATTTATTATATTTATTTTTTTATTAGCTATTAAAATGAAAATGAATAAAATCAAAGAAAGAATAAAATCATGTCATAATGAGGCTAGTGACGATCTTAATTTCAATGATAAAAATAAACTTTATCTTGAAACGCATAAATCATTTGGATATTGTTTCAGGATTTCAAGAAAGGTAAACAAATAAATTTCATTGATTAATTAATTAACTGTACGATTATTTGTTATATTTATTCTTTCTAATTGATTTGTATTTAGGATGCTCCTTGTATTAATAGAAATAAAAAGTATATAGAACTTTCCACACAAAGAAATGGTGTCTATTTTACAACTACTGAAATGAAAGATTTGAATGAAAAATATGAAGAATTAGATCTTCAATATGCAGAAGAACAAAGTTCTTTGGAAAAGGAGGTTTTACTTGTTGCAGGTAACACTTGCACGTTTATATATCATTTGTTTTTAAACAGTAATAATTGTAAATTTGCACATTTAAATGTTTATGTTTATATAGCAACTTATTGTTCTGTATTGGAAAAGATGAATGAATTAATAGCACATATTGATGTTATCGTTAGGTTTGTAATATTTATTGAGGTTGATGATATAATAAATTTGAAAAACAAAATTGTAAATATTTATATTATTGTTATTAATTATAATATATTTAAAAGTTTTTCAAGTGTGTCAATTAATGCCCCTATGCCAGTTGATGTTTTAAAAACATTCTTAGCAACATATAATGTGTCTTCACCATGGACACTGTAATATTCCTATCAAGTGGAATATTTATTTATTTAGTTATGGGTTGATAAATATTATAAAGATAAAAATAAAAAAATTAAGCCTACTCCAGAATTTCGTTCAAATATACGAATAGTATTTGCAGGTTTCTAGAAGACATGCAAGGATTAGTTTTAAAATTTATAACTTATAACAAATATATTTATATTTCTTTACCTCTGGAAGACCGTGAAAAAACTTGCAAAAACCTTCTTCACCTTGTTTAGTCTCTAAAGGAAAAAACAACACGTATTTAATTAATAATGTGGTTTTTTAATTTTTTTAAAAGAAAATTAAATAACTGACCGAATTTTAGTGCAGGAGTGTTATCTGAATTTACTTGCATATTGTTCATTATCTCTTTGCAATAAAGTTGAGTGTAATAAAGAGAAAGGAGCTAAAATACGCGTATTCCTAAAAAGAATGAATAATGAGGGAAACCAGTGTGACGCCCAACGGGTCAATTTGTTCGAGATCCTGTGACATTTATGTGCGTTATGGAGCATAATGGACACTGTAAAATAAGCTATTTCATTGGCCAAATTTTGTCGATCTTATTTCAAATCATCACACAAAAC